ACTGCAGAATGGAAGTAACTAAAACCACACTGCTTTCTCAGTTGAGTACTAAACAGTTTGAAAAGCCTAGAAACTGCTTATACTACTTGATTACAACTAACACAGATCCTGGGAGGTGGGGGTACAACCACTGACATAAATACACTGAGACTGTACTACATTTACACAGACATCGCAGGCTTCTAACAACTTTAGCTATCTGTAATACAGAACAAAAACAGATTTAAAGAGGCAAAACAAAGTGATGCTGAGTAGCTCACAGACACAGCAATGTAACAGTGAGTGGTCTGTCCTTGAGGAATGAGACAGTGAAACAATCACAAGGAGCTGAGAGAACACTTCCAAGTCTAATGCTTGTGTCTCCATTGTGAGGGGAAAGAACAGTCTTCTCATGAGGCTGTTTTACAAGATGTATGACTTTAAAGGGTTTATAACACCAGCACAAAGACACCAAAAGATGATTATGGTTAAATGGACTATTTTGATTAAAATGAAATAATCTTTGCACTGGGGATATAGAGTTAAACAGCACATTGTCTTTCAAGCATGCATGAAGCTCTAGGGTTCCCTCCATCATCCAAAGAAGAAATTTGGCATTTGAAAGAAACAGGTGTCTACAATTTTCTCTATTTTCATAAGTAGATTATTTCACAATAGAGAAAATACCTTAACCAAGATAATACTACTCCCCAACTCAGTGACAAAGCATCCTTGACGACTTGAATATGACAAAGGTTCTGAACATAACAACTGCTTAATCCTATGGCATCTGATGCTGGCAGAACAATGTGGTACTCCTCACCACCATGGTTAAGAATGCGGTACTCCTCACTGTGGCGGCGACATACTTAGCATGGCATGAGCTCTGATGTGCTCAACAGAGTCCCATCACAGTACATTGGTTGTATTTCCTGCATGGATCCCGTCTGACACAATGACAGCATACACTAAAGATACTGATGGTGGGCAAAGACTAAGGTTCGGAAGAGGTGTTGGTGGAGAGTAGCCCTCCAAAGATAATAAACTCTGGTTCTCACACCCATCTACTACATATTATTCCTAAACATTCTACTCTCTGACAACTTTCCCCAGTCTTATATACCTAAAACTTTGAGAAACTTAAAATTGGAAAGAAAAAAAATTCTCAACACATTGATTTACAAACTATAAACCCAAGATAAACTTGTTTATCTTTGATGAAAATGGCAGACAAGTTCCTTCAATGAAATATCTCAATAGGGCACTAACATTTACCTGAGGAGGTGTAACAGAACCCAGATTATGGCTCAAAGTCTAACATTTCAGACATAAAGAAACCACTTATGTAGGGAGCTAAAGGTCCATGTTAAAACTAGCCACACGGTTCTCTGTCCACTACCTATAACCTTTAAGAACAATCTGTGTGGGTTTTTGTCGTTGTTCTTGTTCTTTTTTAAGACAGGGTCTCTCAGGGATGGAGAGTTAAGAGCACTGGCTGCTCTTCCAGAGGTCCTGAGTTCAATTCCCAGCAACCACATGGTGGCTCACAGCCATCTGTGATAGGATCTGATGTCCTCTTCTAGTCTGTCTGAGGACAGCTACAGTATAGTCGTGTAAATAAAATAATTAAGTGTTTTTTAAAAAACCAGGGGTCTCTGTATAACTTTGGTTGTTCTATAACTCACTATGTACACCAGGCTGACTTCTACAAACAAGAGACGCACCTGTCTCTGCCTCCCAAGTGCTGGGATTAGAGGAATACACCACCACCATACCCTGCTGGGAACAATTTTAATGATTTTTTTTAAAGATTTATTCCATTTATATGAGTACACTGTTGTTGTCTTCAGACACACCAGAAGAGAACATCAGCTCCCATTAGAGATGCTTGTGAGACACCATGTGGTTGCTGGGAATTGAACTCGGGATCTCTGGAAGATCAAGCAGCCAGTGCTCTTAACTGCTGAGCCACCTCTCCAGCCCAATTTTAACGATTTTTAAAGTAACTATTTTTGTTATTTTCATTTGTGTCTGTTCTGTACTTCACTGTTCTAAGAATTTCCTGAAAGGACTGCCCTGAAATGCTTTCCTATGTATACTGTACTTAGAACACTTTGTTTCTCATCTGGCCACTATAATTGGGACAAAATACCTTACTGATGCTTTTAGAAATCTTCATAGAACTGACTTAGACAAGATTCCAGTAATTGTCTACTAGACAGTAATCATCTAGACTTCAGTGAGAATTTCAGAAGGCAGGGCTGGTGAGTTAAGTGGCTAAAAGCATGTACCATTCTTGCAGAGAGCCTGGGTCTGATTCCCAGTGCCCACATCAGGCAGCTCATAACCACCTGTAACTCCAGCTGTAGGGAATCCAACACCTTTTCTATCCTCCAAGAGCAGCAGTATTCATATGCAAACACATATAATTAACAAACAATAAAAACGGTACGGAAAAGAACTGAAGACACAGCTCAGTAGTTAAGAGCACTTGTTCTTGCAAAGGACCTGTGTTTGGTTCCCAGCACACAAGGTGGCTCACAGCCAGCCACCTGTAACTCCATTTTCAGGTGATCCAATATCCCCTTCTGACTTCCTCAGATACTTGATTTACATACATACACCAAATAAATCAATCTTAAAAAAAAAAGGAAGAAAGTAAATCCTTTAAAAAAAAAAAAAGAATTAACTTACAGAACAGTACTAGCAAAACAGGGCAATAAAATATCTAAGAAAATAATAATTGAGCACATATTTTGAACAAAGGATCTCAAGAGATGGCTCAGAGGCTAGGAGCATTTGCTGCTCTTCCAGAGCACCCAGGTTCAGTTGTGAGTGCTCACACAACAGCTCACAGCCACCTGTCACTCCTGTTCCAGGGAATCTAAAGTCTCTTCTGGTGGAGACAGACTCTAGGCATGATTATGGTATATACACATACATGTAGACAAGATACATATACAATAAAAACAAATAAGCAAATAAAACATAAAATCTTAAAAACAGATTTCTCATATGTAAGCAGGGAGCACAAAGTAGCAAAATCAACCATCACTACAATTTTGGAGGTTAATTTCTCATAAACCCTGAAACGATTCTGACGAATGTTAATGTAAAGGGCAATAACAATGAAAACTTCATGTTAGTCATTGAGAAAAACAGTAAGACTCAAAAAAAAAAGTATGTGTGTGCAAGAAGGAAAGGGGGGAAATTTTCATAAAATGTGAAACACAAAATGTCAGACAAATGAGAAAGATGAATTTAGTATGACCCAGTGTGGCTCTCGTAGTGGCTACAAAAGGCCAAGCCTGACCTTCCAGGCTCTTCAGAGTGCAGCAGGCCCAGTCACAGACGCTCAGTCGGGATATAATGTGTCCAATGTTTATGGAAATCAAGAGTACAGCCCCTCATTCCATAAACAGACAGCATAATACACATACAGCATCAACTTCAAAAACGAGAACACAATAATGTTGAGCAAAACAATCATTAATTATTACATAATCTTGCCAAAGTATTTACTATACAGTTAATAAAAATGCTTAAAAACTTTACAGAGTTGGAGATATGGCTCAATGATACAATGCTTGTCTAGCATGAGCAAGGGTGAGTGTGTGTGTACGTGTGTGTGTGTGTGTATGTGTGTATGTGTGTGTAATCTCTGCCACTATAAAAACAAACTTACTATTGTTAACTTAAGTAAAAAAAAAAAAATGGGTTTAACATACTTTACAAGTTGAAAAATCAGGAAATTACATTTACTAAATTTTGTAGACAGAAAGAGAATATGGCAGAAACATAATTCAATTATTTTATATAATAAAATGCCATAGGCACGTGTTCTGTATCCCTAAGACAGCAGCAAGGGGTGTCTTTAACAATGGGGAATGAGAGGAACGAGAGGATTTCCTAGTCTGCTGATATGTTAGCAGTCTGCTCTTGCAAGCCAGTACTACTAGCTGCTCTTGCCACTACACCATCAAGTGTACAAGACAGATGATTATGATTTTAAATAAAAACTACAGTAAGTAGCCATAAAAAAGATCCTGTTACTTAATCAGCAGGATAGTGCTTGCCTATAATCTTAGCAATCAGGAGATGGAGGTAGGAAGGCTTCAGGTTCAAGGTCAGCCTAACCTAGATCATAGCAAGACTCTGTGTGTGTGTGTGGGGGGGGGTCATATATAATACATTTAAAGGGAGAACTGAAGACACAGCTCAGGATGCAAAGCACTTGTCTAGCATGCATAAAACCCTTTATTCAATATCAGTACTGTATAAAACTATGCATGGTGGCACACTCCTGCGTAATCCTAGCACTTTTAAGAGGTAGAGGGAGGAAAATCAAAAGCAAAAAGTCATCCTTGGCTACATCTTAAGTTCAGGGCTAGTTTTGGCTGAGTTCTTGCTAATAAAGAGATAGCTTCTTTACTACATAAGGTAAAACATGGGGGAAGTAACTCTGAAGATGAATTACCACTGCTACATACTACACTGCCACTGCAAGGGGAACGCCAAAGAGGACACCCCTAACAGGATCAATCATGTGTTTCTTTAGCCTCCCACTTCAAGCTCTTGATACAGCTGTGATAAAATGCCCTCAGGGAGCGCACAGTCTATTAAAGGTGTAAATGGTCATGAAACACTAACACTTGTATTAAAATATGAACAATAAACAAGGATCCTACATATCTTGTTAGTTTATAAATACAAGGGAGACATGGAAAGATGAAAGTTCATTTTTAGGAAAAAAAAGGAGGGGGAATACAGATGAGGGGAAGGAGAAGAAAAAGGGAAGGAGGGGGGGGCGGGGAAGAGAGATTGAAAGCATGGCCCACCACATTCTCACAGGTATGCATCTCTCTTCTCTACTCCCTCCTACAGAAGCTGGTATAGCACACCATACTAACCCACATTAAGACCTCTACATCTGGATTAAGGTCCAAATAGGTTCTGCCCACCAGATAAACCAACTGTTAAAATGAAAAGGTTAGTGACCACACCTTAACATATTCTCTTACTTTTGCAGGAGAGCGTTGTTTCCGCTTCTTCTTTTTCTGTAAGTCTACTGGCTCTCTGACTTGTTTTTTGTCTCTCATCAGTTGCTCAGATACATCAGTAAAAGTAATTTCCTGCTTTACACTTATCTGTTTAAAAAAAACAAAGCTGATTTTAGAAATGCATAAAGTCCAATGTGCATTCTGCAGAAGTACAACTAAGAAGATAACCTGAGGGGTAATTTGGGGAGGCTAGGACATCTCCCACAAGACAGACAGAATAAGCTTAAGGATAGACTCCAAGTAGGTTCTGTATACTTCAGTCTATACTTCTTAAATTGATTGAAATTAGCCAAAAAGCTTTGACTGGTTAAGTCCTTGTCATCTGTTCTTTCTCCCTACACATGAAAACCAACCAGGATAAATTCCACTGTGATGAGGGATGAAGAAAATCAAAGCGCAGGACAGTTAGCCAACAATGTCAAGAGAACTGTTCAGAGACAAGGGGTGTATGTGTCGGGATGGGGGTGGGGCTGGGGGGAGGTGGTCAGAATTGAAATGGCATGGTTAACATATCCCTGTACTTCCAACATTTGGAAGGCTAAAGGTGGGGGAGGTGATCATGAGGTTGAAGCCAACCCAGACTGCATACCAAAATCTTGTCTTAAAAGTCAGTAACAAAAACGAAGACACTTGTGTTTACCCTTCCAAAAGTAACTATAGCCAGAAGTTAGGAGGACCATGGTTACCTGACACTAATTTCCCTTCACTAGATTTCTGCAAACAGAATTTCCTCCATGTCTTTGACTCTGCTCTATAGGGGCACTTCTACTTTTAGGTATAAACATCCTGCTCTGTTCCCCTATAAATCTCTGCATTAGATCCTGCCCCTTTCTCATAAACTACTTTATCATTGGTCAGGAAATCTATAGGGCTAGATTAGCTGATACTCTAGTTTCTCAAGGTTGAGAATATTCATACACAGAGGAGAATTGTAACGGGCATTTAGAAACTGCTTTTGTTTAAAACAAACAAACAAAAAAAGTGCTATTCTTTACTTGGGCTTCAAGGTAACTAAATTCAGGGTAAAAGCCTGGCTTCTCTTCTTTGGTTTTATGTCTGTCTCCTTTACTTTGCGTTGCCTTCTCCCCTCTCCAGGAGTGTCTGTATAATCTATCTCTGCTCCTAAATGGTTGAAAGCATAGATAAATCATTGATTGGCCTTAGCCTTTCTTCTTGAGTCACCTTGGCTACCCAGAACAGCATATCCTCACAAGGAAGAGTTCCCTGGAGCAGAACTAATCCTATTCTGATAAACACCCATCTGAGTAAACAAGAGACTTCTTCAAGATCTACTAGAGCTAAGGCAACAGTCTGCCACCCACTGGGAAGCTCTAGTAAAGACTGCTCACTCAGGACTGTTCATTACCTCCTGCCACTGCCACACCTTACAAACACCCCAATTCCTTTAAACCTAAACCTCGTGTCAGTGCTCTAAAAACAAAGCTTGGCTCACTGGAACTCTGGGTTGTTCTCTTCTTCATGTGAACAAACCTCCCCAGCTTTCTGCTTTTCACACACACAGGAGAAAGTCTTTTGTGATCACTCACCTCAGAATTGTACTCTTATCTTTTGCTGAACCTACATAATGTTTTCAGAGTGACTGAATGTATATATACACCAAGTAAACAAAGTGCTAAAAAAAATCATTAATAGGCAAGTTGAGAAACAAAAACAGAGTATATGAAACTGAGAAACTTTGTTGAAGTAGAGAAAAAAAGATTAACGGTGTCTTGGAAAGGGGTGTTTCTAAGACTTGAGAGCATACAGTGAGGTAAGTGACATCAGTTTCCTTGCCACAAGCAATTAAGGGACTAACACTAAGGTTATAAGCACAAGAAAGGTTAGGTTTCAACAAAAGTCAGTACAGTATTGGGAACTATAGTTAGACATTTTGATGTCCTTTTTTTTTAGATCAAGAAAACCACAAAATTCTAAAAATTGATTATATCGAAAGAAAATTAAGTGGAACCAATGTTTTTCATTTATGCTCAATATTTTTTTATTTTTCCCTTTTCTATGCTCAACATTTCCTAGCCTTTTCAACAAATCATTACCAAATATATAATTATAAAGTTGTATAAGGTTTTACTCAAGACATAATGCTTACTATACAATAATTAGAGAAACAGAGTTCAGGAGACATACGCCATCAACAAGACTGTTATCTTGTCTTCAAATCTGGGTTCCAGAGCTGCTTATCTTTGAAACAGCAAGGTTCTATCTAAGGTTACTGATGATACAGTTAATTGTCATTGGACTGAGGATGCTCAGTCCACCTCCTCCTCACTGCAGCCTTCTAAATATCATTAAAATGAATACAAAAATTCTGAAATTTTGTTAAAAATACACTAGAACCCTTTGAAAACCATCTAAGTAAGCACAAAGTGCTAATGATTTAAGTGTCCTGACAAGAACCAAGTGCCTCTAACTGCCTACTAGGCTCCAAGGAGCTGCTGTTTCCTTAGGGAGGGGATGACCAAAGCCCAAAGTGCCAGCCAAGGAAGAAACTGTCTCCTAGAAAGGGATTTCACACAGATTTCAACAAATTAACAAGCCACCTCAGGACAGACTAAAGCCCAGACAAAGACAGTCAAATCCCAAGCAGAAGTATGCTCTGACCAGGGCTGCTAGCTACGAAGTTACACTCTTGCTCTGTGTTTAAACCTAACTCTCATGTCAGAACCCTAACCATGGACTCACGGGCCACCAGCCCTCTCTCGAAACCTCTTTTCAGTTTAAGGACACAGACTGGCTTTCTTTTCTGTGCTCTTCACTATTGCTTCTGTCAGCTGGTATGCTGTCAACAGGAGACTGGGGCTCATTTGTTAGGGACACTGAGACTGAGTCTTGTGCCCCCAAAACAACAGTGTGATTACATTTTAAAAACACTACAAAAAAATAGAGTACCGAAGATCCAGAGCATCTCACAGATTGAGCTGCAAGACAGTGGCAGCTGAGGACTCATGAGTAGAGGCTTTAACCTCAGTGAGCCAGGAAGGGGCCTCAGACAACAGACAAAATGAGGAAATGGAAGCAACGGTGAATCTCTGAACTCAACATCTACGAAATCACATGTAAAGAAGCAAATGATTTCTTGGCTAATAACTGTATCAGGCTGCAGCATAAGACAGTTATCTTGGTGCTAGAAGGTAGCACAGAATAGTCAATCACCCCTCAGTACTGAGTTCCCTGAAACAACCACACATTGAGGCTGGGCACACAGCAAATAGAGATAAGAGAGAGAAGACAGCTGTGCAATTGTTCCAATTTCACAGGACTCCAAAAGGCAATTCTGACACGTTGTTGTTGTTGTTGTTTATAAATTGATGGGGGGAAATACATACATACATACACACGCACGCACGCACGCACGCACGCACGCAACTATATCCCAGCTTTGAAGGAGCAGAGGCAGGAGAATCTCTGTGAGTTCCAGGGTAGCCAGGACTAAACAGAGATCATGTCTCAAAAAAACACCAAAATAGAAAACATAGGAACTTCTAAGACAGACTCATGAGTAACTTCTACAGGTGACAGCTCTTCATGAGCACAAAATTTTTTAAAAAATACAGTGATCATATTAATACTATCTTTCAAATATGAGGCACATGTGTAACATATAAGAGGTACAAACCCAGGCAGACAGTAAATTATAGTTTTAGAATGGTCCAAAACGTTTGTTACTATAATAGAACAATGTGACTGTGTTCAAGTCTCAAGTACATAGTCCATCCAAAGACAAACTACACTCAGCTAACCCTCCTCACTGCAAACTTTTACAAAAAGCTTTCTATAAAAAGAACAGGGATAAGTCAAAGAGCTGGTTTAGTGGGATAAAGTCACTGCTGAACAAGCCTGGAGGCAAGGTTCAATCCTCGGAAGGCACAGAAAGGTGAAGGAGAGAACCAACTTCACAAAGCTGTCCTCTGATCTCTGCCCACATACACACATTACATACACAGATAATAAAAATAGTCAAATTTTTCAAAGATGCTAGAAAATTATAAGAGTGAAAAGTATGAGAGGTAAAAGAATACATTATAGACAGCATGAAAGAGTTTCAGTCTTTCCTGGTCCATGCAAGAATACAACAAAAATCTATAAAAACAAGAAAACTATGTAAATATGACAAAGATATTCATTAAGTCATCCTGCCCTTTCCTTCAGAGGTTCCCCTGCACCTCTTTCTGTTTTGCAGGTTTCTCTGTGTAGCCCTGGCTATCCTGGAACTCAATGTGTAATACAGGCTGGTCTCAAATACAGAGATCCGCCTGCCTCTGCTGCCAGTGTGCTGGGATTAAAGGCATGCACTGTAACAGTCACCACCGCTGCCACTGCTACCGCCTGACACTAACAGAAAGGTTTTGATTTTTTAAGAAACTTACATATAAGATCTCATAAACTCGAAGGTGATCTCGACATTTTTTAAAGTTAAATTGTATTTTATTTTTGTGAACATATGTGTCTGCATGTGTGGGTGCATGATGAGGCTATAAGATGCAGGATCCTCTGGAGCTCAAGTTACAACGAGCATCCAATGTAGGTGCTGGGAGCTGAGTACTGGTACTCTCTAAGAGCATCAAGTGCTCTCAACTGCTGAGTTATCTCTCCAGCTCCAGTACCCTTGATTTTTTACCCTCCTAGCTCTACCCTCTGCAAGTTGTGGCACCATGTCTGGCACACGTGATGCTGGAGATGGGCACTCCACATGCTTGGAAGCACTCTACCAACTGAGCCAATTCCTCAGCTTAAGAAATCTTCTTAAGAAATCATTTTCAAGGTGTTTATTTTCATAAAACTAAACTATAATAATTAATAAAAGCAGGTGTAAAAAATGGTTGAACATCTGAAGAAACTAGGTAGCCAGATTTTTGAAAACCATAATAGAATCTAAAAAACAGTCTGCAAAATACATCAACTTTTTGTTATTGTGGTTGTTTTGTTTTTATTCAAGACAGGGTTTCTCTGTGTAACCTCGGGTGTCCTGAAACTCGTTCTGTAGACCAGGCTGGCCTCAAACTCCCCAGTGCTGAAATTAAAAGCGAACACCACCACTACCCAGCTAAAATATATCAAATTAAGGAAAG